GGACATTGACAGCGGAGATGCAAAAAACCCTCTTGCAGTTGTTGAGTACATTGAAGATCTTTATGCCTATTACAGAAAAGTTGAGGTAGTAATGAACTAATAATCGACAAACTTTTTACAGAACAGATGCAAACGTTTCAAATTTGCGTTTTGAAACGTGATAAAGTTTTTGGAGTACCTTTTAAAGACAGGTCACTTCCAGTAGCTCATGTGAGGCTCTCTATATATGCAGTGGCTTAGGGTTTTGTTGGGAGAATAGGGAAGTGTATATTTATTGTTTGTTATTTTATTACTACTTATTATTATTATTATTATTGTTGTTGGTGGTGGTGGTGCTACATCTATATTATTATAAAGAAGCTAGGAAAGTTTAATTACTTTCTAGTCTAAGACAAACAAATAAAAGTATAAACTAGTATAACAAAAACAAAAAATCCCAACAATATGAGAGTGTGAGCCATGAACTAAAAAAGGTGTATCTCCATCCCACAAGGATAGAGAGGCATTTTTAAGCTACATTTATGTGTGAAATTCACTTATATAGATGATACGAAAAATTTGTTTAACTAGAATTATTAATTGTATGATATTTATACTACTGGTAATTTGTTAAATGTATATCTATGAGTAACATATTGTGAGTTTCTAATTCAAAATTATTTCAATACTACTATTACTATTACTTGTTACATCTGCTTTTACTTGTTACATTAAATAATAAATAAACATTCAAAGTTTGTCTCATCTTCAATGCCAACCTGTAATCCCACAATCAAAATGCTTTTTAACTAACTGCCAACTTACTTTCGCAGTAACTTTATTGACTGACTGATGTCAGAATAGTTACCATGAACCATTACCATCATATTTGCAGAACTGTAGTTGCGTTTCCCCTGATTACATGTCAAGACAGCTTGACATCAATGAAAGGATGAGGGCTATACTAATTGACTGGCTCGTTGAGGTAACTTTCCTGTACACATGTTTTGCATTTGGTCCCCAAGAACTTTCATTATTTCTGATTTTGGTGAATGCAGTGAATGTAACCCAACCAAACTGGGAAGATTGAAAAATAAGTGTTGTTTGTTATAAATGGTTATGGCAAACAGGTCCACCACAAGTTTGAGCTAAGGGAAGAGACACTGTTTTTGACCATAAACATCATAGACAGATTCTTAGAGAAACAAAATGTGGTGAGAAAGAAGCTTCAACTGGTTGGGTTGGTTGCTATGCTATTGGCTTGCAAGTATGAAGAGGTTTCTGTTCCCGTTGTGGATGATTTTGTGTTCATTTCTGCCAAAGCTTACACAAAGAAAGAAGTTCTTGACATGGTTAGTCAGTTTGATAACGAAAAATGACACATAGATAAAGCTTACAATAGAAATAAGTTAAGAAAGAGTTCTCTAAAAAAGTTTTGCCCCTCCCATATTATTATAAAAAATTGTGCAGGAGAGCTGGATGCTCAACACACTGCAATTCAATATGTCAGTCCCAACTCCTTATGTCTTTCTCAGAAGATTCCTCAAGGCCACACAATCTGATAAGAAGAAGGTTAGCTAGCTTGCTTGATTGATTGAGCTCTTCTTTACTTTTTTGGCTTTTAAGAAAAACACTGACATATGTTGAGAATTTGGGGTTTTGACAGCTGGAGCTATTGTCTTTGTTCTTAATTGAGCTCTGCCTTGTGGAGTATGAAATGACCAAATACCCCCCATCGTCTTTGGCCGCCGCTGCAGTCTACACTGCACAATGCACACTCCATGCCCATAATAAGGAGTGGAACCAGACCTGTGAATGGCATACTGGCTACTCTGAACATCAACTTCTGTAAGTCGTACTTAGTTTTTGTGCAAAGAGTTCTCAACTTGTACTTTATAATCAGTAATTTTTTAATATGTGATGATTAAGTTGTTTTAAACATTTACTAAAACAAACCACTGCATCTATTGAATAAAATTTGGTCGAGATTTTACATTACAATCTTTGACCAGAAAATTTTAATTAGAGTGTGGGGGTGGATGTGAGTAGATGTTAAGTTTTGTACCAGTTTTATTAAAGTGGGGAGGGATGTTGTTACTTACAAAGCTTTTTTGCCAGAGAAAGCTCAAGAATGATGGTGAGCTTCCATCAAAGGGCAGCAACAGGGAAACTAACAGGAGTGTATAGGAAGTACAACACCTCAAGGTTTGGCCATGTAGCAAAGTGTCAGCCTGCCACTTTTCTTCTTCTTCACAACTGTCAAGAACAGCAACAACAATCTCACCAGCAACAATAAGGCCTTCATCATTCTTGAGCTTTCTTTCTACTTATTACGCTTGAAGAATATGGTATTAACTGGATTTGTCATAATTATTTTAATGCTTTGTTTTGAGATAATTTGTTAACTTCCCCTCCAACATGATTGTTGAGTTTTTGATGATTAATCTGCGTTGTATTTCTTATTTCTACTCGAAATAATCAGATAACAGGCGAAATGAATGCATTACTCTTTATTTATTTTTCCCAATTCTGCATCTAGTTTCTGCACAGTATCATTTTGACGAGTCTGGGTAGTTTTGATCAATTCAATTCTTTATCTTTTACTTTTTATAAGTATAGTTGTGGGAGTTGCAATCGTGAGAATAATGGAATGTCTTACCAATTTGGTAGTCCTAGATGTCATATATATAATAAAATATGTCATGATTATAATAGGAAACATAATAAATATGAAAACCTAATTAATTGTATTAATTACACTATTACACTCTCTTAAGTTGTGCAGGAGAAACAATGCACACATTGTATCTAAGAAAAATAAAACGGTGTGAAGACAGACTTTTTGTAAAAAGATCTGCTAGCTGGAACTGTGTAGGAACATAGCGGACAATAGATCTGCATGCGAGATACACTCTCACGAACAAAGTGATAATCAAATTTGTGGATAAGTAGGAGGCAGAATCATTATCACACAATAACTTAACTACGAATGGGAATGCGTAATTCGAACAATATGGAGTGAATATGAAGTGTCCTGAACCGTGTAAGCAATAGCCCTATATTCAGCTTTTGTGGAAAACCGGGAGACAGTGAGATGCTAAATTTGGGCCCAGAAAAAATGAGAAGTATGAGGCGCATGCATAAACTGAGAGACGAGGTGTAATATTAGGTCGAGTCATGGTCAAATACTGTAAAGCACCTACCATACTTCTGTACTCAGTAGGACCTGCAAGGAGATCACAATCAATGAGAGACAACTTAGTTCATGTAGGAAGCGGAGTACGTACAGGCTTAAGAATGTGGAGATGAAACCTGGTTAATAAATCAAACACATAATGTTGTTGAGACAAAAGCAAACCTGAGGACATTTGAACAGCCTGAACACCTAAGAAAAAGTGTAGATCCCCCAAATCCTTCATGGCAAAACAACGGCCAAGACAAGAAATAAATGTGGAAATAAAGGAAGGAGAATTAGCAGTAATAATAATGTCATCCACATATGATAGGAGATAAAGAACAGAGGATTTATGTCGATAAATAAACAAGGAATTATCAGACTTACTACAGACAAAACCATGAGTCAACAAAAAACTATTGAGCCGATAAAACCAAGCTCTTGGAGCTTCTTTGAGACCATAAATAGCCTTTTTGAGTCTACAAACATGATCAGGAAATTGTGGATGTACAAAACCAGGAGGCTGACACATATAAACTTCTTCAGTCATATTGCCATGAAGAAAAGCATTTTTGACATCTAACTGACGAATGGTCCAACGACGCAAAACAACAAGAGTCAAAACTATACGAATAGTAGTGGATTTAACAACAGGACTAAACTCACACCAGCCTTGCTGAGTAAATCCCTGTGCAACCAAGTGTGCCTTATAACGCTCAACTGACCAATCAGAATTAAATTTTGTTTTATAAATCCATTTAGACCCAACCACATTTTTACGAGCATTAAATGGAACTAAATCCCAAGTATGATTATCAATAAGTGCATTAAACTCCTCTGCCATAGCAGCTCTCCATTAGCATCTTTATTTGCCACAGAAAAACAAGAAGGTGGAGAAGGGGACGGGTTCGGGCTGGCAGAAGTGGAGGTGGTGGCTTGGGCTGTTTGGGATTCGGATGGCGATGCCGTGGGCGTGCTGGGGCTAGTTGCTGCAGTGGACGTGGAGCAAGTTACAGTGATGATCGGTGAGGTGGCGGGGGGGGGGGGGGGGGGGGGCAGCCGACTGGGTCGGTGAGAGCTCGCAGCCGCAGCCCTTCGGGAACAGAGGAAGAGCCTACTGTTGGCGGAAGATGTGGAGAAATATTGGCAGTGGGGGTATGGCTCTCATGCATGCTCACAGTGCTGGAATTAGACAGTGTGGAAAAGTCCTTGTTTGGTGTGAAGAAGTTAAATTGGAATAAGGAAAATAATCTTCATAAAAACGCACATTTCGATTTATGTAAATCTTGTGAGTAATAGGATTAAGGCAACGATAACCTTTGTATTCAGGGGCAAATCCTAAAAAGACACATAAAGTGGATCTGGGAGAGAGTTTGTTGGTAGAAGTGACATTAAAATTTGAAAAACAAGCATAATCAAACACACGCATGAAAGAGAAGTCGGGAGTATATGGTGGAATAATTTTTCAAAAGGAGAATTGTCATTTAAATTTGGAGTAGGAAGCCGATTGATGATAAATGTGGCGGTAAACACAACATCTACCCCAAATTTAGCTAGCATTTTTGCTTCAAAGAGCATAGTGTGAGTTAATTCAAGTAAATGCCTGTATTTTTGCTCAACTACTCCATTCTACTCCACTCTCCATCACTTTGAAAAAATTTAATTGTAGAGTCAAGTAAATTTTTCACCATTAATTTAAAATGTTGTAAGTGTCTCATCACTTCACTTTTATTACGCATGGGATAAAGCCACGTAAAACGATAGAAATCGTCAATAAATAAAACATAATATTTAAAGCCACTTTCAGAGAGAATAGGAGACTGCCAAACATCAGAATGAATTAAAAATAAAGCAGCAGTAGATTTATGTCACACTTCTTGAAAAGGTAATCGTTTTGACTTTCCTAACCGACAAGAAATACACTATAATCACGGGAAAAATTAGAAGTAATAAGAATAGTTCCAGACTTTGATGGTCCCAAATGAGGTAGAAGTCTAGAGGGGGGAGGGTGAATAGACTTATAAAAATCTTTTCTTTTTCAACCCTTTTTCCTCAAACAGAATGTGTTCCAATATCTTTTGGGAGATATTGAAACATACAGCGGAAGTCTTGACCTCAATAATGTGACACTTTATAGGAACAAAAGTTATGACCATTTTGTTGTTACAGAGATGGGTGGACAGAACACCTTTGTGTGAAGGATTTAGACCTATTGATATAGATCTCTTTGAAGTATGTAGGTAAGGAGTTTTGATTCACAGAAAACTTTAGTGAGTTTTCTGGACAGTGAATATGCAAGCTTTTGGGATAGTATGAAGGTGAGTGAGAACTGAAGTATGTGTTGGGTGCTGAATGTAAAAGGTACACAAGATATATCTTGGTTCAGAGGTGGTGTAATCCTCCTACATCGAGTCCCAACCTATTTCAGATATATTTCCACTAAATGAATATCCCATTAAATTTAGTGCCCAATCTACCCCTGGTCCGGGCGTAGATTGTGAGGTTTTTCATGAGGAACCAGACTGTTCCAAGCTACTCATGTCCTCCAAGGTTTTTCACTAATGGCTTGCCCAGCCAAGAGCTACTCATGTCCTTGCCTCACCTTCTGGATGATCACAACACATCCAGAATGTAGACACTAGTCTTGTTTACATGGGTTTAAAGTAGTGTACCAACTAATCTAAGCTTTATAGATGTATATGAATGATAAGCTATTCTGTTGGAGATATTTAATTGTGAATCAAGTTTGTCATAGATTAGCTTTATATTTAATCCTTGTATTTAATTAGTGCATGAATTAGATAGCAATCGGGCCAAGTGTTAGGCCCATATAAACAGGCTAAAAGCCTTGTACGCCTAACCTAAACCTCGCCTATAAAAAGGGAGCCGAGGGTTTAGGAATAGGTTAACGTCGTACTTATTCTTCATAGCCTTACGCGCATACTTTTGTGTTGTACGAGTTCACGGTCTATCAAAGAGGGTTTTACGTTGATTCATTCTGTGTTCATCCTTACGTTTAATCTTCGTTGTTAGATCGTTATTCATTTCTGTTACAGAAACAGGGACTAACAATTGGTATCAAAGCCGATCGAGAGCCGATCAGAAGAACGCCTGCAGAAGACTCTGTTTTTTCTTTACGTTGTTCTTACTGTCGATATTTCACTCTGTAATTTTGTTTCTTGTTCAAAAATTGTAAAAGTTACACCCTTAGAATCGTCTTTTCAAAGCGATCAAGGGGTATACTTCAGATTTTGTTTTACGCATATTCTGTATTCGAGATATCTCGAGTAGGGGTTGTCGACATCTTGATTTTTCACAGGTTCTGCTACGTTTTTCGAGCTGAAAACTCTACCCGAGGATCTCGACATTCTACTGTACAGGAAACTACCTTCAGATTTTGTTTATCTGATTTTTACAGTTTGCAGGATTTCGACATTGAGGATTTCGACATCTAGGATTTCGAGATCTTGATTTCGAGTTAAGGTTTCGACATCTGGTCTCGACATTTGACTTCTCAGAATTAAGGTTTCGAGTTTTAACTTCTCGACATTTCAAATCTCGAGATCAGCTTCTCGAAATTTGAAATCTCGAGATCCCTAATCTCGAGATCTTTAATCTCGAGCTCAAATCTCGATACCGGGCCTCCTTTATCGAAATCTGAGATTTCGATATTCAGATCTCGACATCCGTTTTTTCGACTTTCTGCCTCTGAAAATCTTTTGATCAATTTTCTCGAACGGTCAGTTTAGTACAGCAATGGCTTCAGAATTCAATGCACAAGGGAACAGCAGTACCCCTCCTAGTCTCAGGAAGGGAGAATATCAAATGTGGAGGAACAGATTCCTTAATTTTCTCGAGCACAAAGAGAACTCCGCTGCGATGCTTGAATCATTGCTTGAAGGACCAGCTGAACTCTTGATTTCAGTTGGTGGAGATCCAGAAAATAATCCTCCTATTTTTCCAGAAATAAGGAGGAAAGTGCCATCTGAATACACAGAAGCTGACAGGCTCAGACTTCGTTGTGACCTCATGGCCAAAACATACATTCTTCAAGCAATCCCCAATGAAGTATACGTTCTCATAGACAACATGCAAACAGCTAAGGAAATGTGGGATGAGATAGAGAAGCTGCTCCAAGGCACAAGCATCAGCCTCAAAACCAAGTTCGAGATGAGCATGATGGGCGAACTTAACTTCTTCTTAGGCCTGCAAGTAAGACAACTCTCTGATGGCATTTTCATCAATCAGTCCAAATACATTCTGGATATGCTAAAGAGATTCAACATAGAAGGCAAATCTTCCATGACGACCCCCATGTCCCCAAACAACAAACTGGACTCAGACCC